TATTCAAACATTGCCTATTTTACCCAGTTTCCACATACTTTTTGAATGGCTCAAAACTATAAAAACATTTTGAAATGTATATTGGTCATAAGAAGAGAATATGTTGCAAAAATTTAAAAATGACACATCAAGTGATTTGTTTTTATGAGAAGTATTGGTATTGATCAGTAAAGTAAGATCACTGAACAAAACTGATATACAATGATCATTTTAAGTAAGCAATTTTACATATAAACAAAATCAACAAATTTCAATCAGTGATTTTTCTCAATATTTAACTGCACCCAATTAACAGATTGAGCTGAAAATATACAAGATTATTTTTTATGATAAAGAGTAAATTTGCAAAATTTTAGAGAAGTTAGGATGGATCAGAATGTTAACTTTGCTGATCTGACAATCACTTATGGTCATAAATATTATGAACTCACACCTCACATAAACTTTTTACACAATGTACTAACCTTCTTCTTCAATGTGGTATCTCAAGTTTTCTAGCAAAATAACAGAACCAGGCTTGGGATCAGCACACTCCTTTTCAACTTCTGCACCAACACAATCAGGCAAAAACTGAATTGGCCTAGGAAAAATATACAAAGTAAATTTCTTTCTGAATTAAATAAATATCATTACTTACTTGCACAGTAATTTTTCCAGTTCTCCAGCTACAGGCTTTAAGGTGTATTTTGGATTGGGACTGCCGTCTGGTCTTCCCAAGTGAGACATAAGAACTACACTTTTAGCCTGTTTATCCAGGGCGTACTTGATGGTATCTAAAGCTGCTACAATTCTTTGGTTGTTAGTTATGACACCATCTTTTAAAGGAACATTGAAGTCCACTCTTAAAAACGTATTAAATATGTCTTGTTAAAGATTATACAACTAAAAACTGAAGCACAAGTTTTTCTATTTAATATTTCACTAAAAACAACAATGTCATGTTTTGAAAAAAATTGCGGCATAATTAACGAAAATTATCGATTTATTTAACCATTTGCTATTGTTTAAATTTATCGTTGCCTATAAAAAAAATAAAACATTTCTATTTGAAAAAAATGAAGAACCTAACCTCTATATGAAAACTAGTAATTGTCAAAATTTTAAGACTTTATAACATCAAAACTTTTATACTGTATAATTACCTCATCAGAACTCTTTTGTTTGCTAGATCAATTGCATCAATTGCAAGTTTGTTTAATGCCATTTTAACTGATGAAAATGAACGTCCCACCGCCGCTGAATTCAAAATGTTCTTAAAAATTGTCAATGTCATGTGGAGGTCAGTTGCGCGAGATGATGCCGATAAAAAAGATAGCTGTAAATGAATTTGGTGCGACTTTCAAATTTTTTTAAACACTTTGTATTGTACTGTTTTATAAATAATATGTGTACTTTGTTATGGTATAGAAAACAGACTGAGAATAAAACAAGTAAACTAAAACTGGCTTGTCAATCGTTGAAATTAATTGTTCTTTGATAGTGCACTGTTTTTATTGATAAAAGGTCGTTTTAAACTTGGAATAATACTGATAATTTGTTAAATTTATGTTTACCACTAACGTTTAGTTGTGTCTAAAGTTCATTTATGTCTTAGCTTCACTTAGATGTTTGTTTATTAGAAATGGCGATAAAACATATTTTTTACACTACCTACAGTCGTTTTTAATCCTCATATGTCTATTAAAATCGCATTGGAGTTTTTATAACATTTTTATAACATAGCTTAAGTGACAAAACAATCTGTATTTTAATTAATTCTAAGCATAATATACTTTTAACGATGATTTGGTAGATAATAATGACCTATTAGTGGTAAATGAGGATATGAAAAAGTGTTTCTTTTTTACACCTTGAAGGTGCTATGACTTGGCAGATTTCTTCAACATATTTTACAAGCCGTTTCTCTTAATAGTTCACTATAATAAACTCTGGGAAACATACAAATAGCATAAAGAACAAAAGGGAGTGGGAACCAACAATATAAAAGAAATTTTATAGACGCACGAATATTATACAAATCTCTATAAAACAGAACAAAAATAACCCAAGAAATCCCTAATCAGTTACAACTGAAAATAAAGAACGTTAACTCTGACCTACAATTAGAAATCAGTAAAAATGAAATAAAAAAGGCACTCAAAGAAATGAAGAATAACAAATCTTCTGGGAAAGATGAAATAACTGTGGAAATGCTAAAAAATGTAGGGAAACTACATTGCACAGCTTTGTGCCCTCCAATATAAAATTGGCAGGACCCTGGTCATCCTTGGCCTTTCGGCATACGACCTTTAGCGGACCCACTGCCTCTACGAGTCCGACACCTACTAAAGGTGGCACGATACCGAAGTATCGTGGGGCTCCACCTTACCTGTGTTGCGGATACGTCACCCGTCCGGATATCAAATCCCGATGTATATGGCATTTGTAGAATTTAAAAAAGCATTCGATAAGGTGTAACATTGGGCAGTAAAGAACTCTTTACAAAATTGGAGAATAGACTATAGATATACGGACTTAATTTCCAATTTATATGATCAAGCAACAACAACCATTAAAATAGTTGAACAGACGGAGCCTATTAAGATACGGCGAGGATTCGGACAGGGTGACACTATCACCCAAACTATTTAATCAAGCTTTGGAAGACGTTATGAGGAAATTACAATGGGAAAGAAGGGGTATTCGCCAATACTTGAATTACTTGAGATATGCAGACGACATTGTATTATAGATAGATAGATAGATGGTTTATTGGTAATAAATTAATACATAAGTATTTTTTACAAGTCAAATAAAATAAAGTAAATGTCAATATAGTTAATATGCACACATAAATATAAACACGAAACATAGATACATTGTTTTAAATTTGTTAACAATTACAACAAATTAAAATTGGAAGTAAAATACTCCTCATATGTAAAAAAAGCATTTACTATAGGTAACTCTTAATTTTTGCCTTAAACTGATGAAAATTAAGAGCCTTTATTCTAGCTGGCACTAAGTTGTAGAATTTTATGGCTAAATACCTTGAACCATTTCTGGATCTCTCAAGACGGCTAAATTCTAGTATAAGATTATTGTTAAATCTGGTGGGATAATTGTGAAAATCTACATGCGCATTGTATTGGCTAAGATTTTGTTTAATGTGCAACAGACACTGCATAATGTATACAGGTAAAGTTAAAATTTTTAAAATTCTAAAGGAGTTTCTACAGTCTGCTCTATAAGAGAGCCCAGAGATAATACGAACACACTTTCTTTGTTGTGCAAACACTTTATCGATATGACAAAAGTGACCCCAGGAGAGAATAGCATATGTCAGATGAGAATGAAAATTATTATGATAAGCTGTTAAAATAGTTTCCCTGGAAGTCACTTGTACAAGGTTCCTGAAGAAAAAAAGTTGTCGGGAAAGCTTTTTCGATAGATTAAATATATGTTGTTCTCAGGTTAATCCTGCATCCAATAAATATATCCCCAGAAACTTCGCTCCGGTTACACATTGTGGTAGAAAAACGTTTTCGACACAAGTGTTATTTCTTAGAGTAAAATTAACACTTTGTGATTTAGATTTGTTAAAAACCAATTGAATAAGATTTTTTCAGATGTTTGGTAATCAAGGGTGTCGAATTCAGAAGGATGATAGCTTGCATAGAAAGTAGTGTCATCAGCAAATAAAACAGTGTTGACTGTTTCATTTTGAGACTACACTATATCATTAATATAGATAAGAAATAATACTGGACCCAAAACCGAGCCTTGAGGGACACTATTAATAACAGATAAAAGGGAAGAATTACAAAATATGATGGATGAATTAAATAGCGAATCAACAAAAATAGGGCTAAAAATTAATTATAAAAAAACGAAATTTATGACCAACCAACCAGAAGAATTAATAATTACAATTGCACAAACAACTATATATGTATATTTGGGACAACGTTAAATTAAATAAAAAAAATCAGACCGGAGAAATAAAGAGAAGGATACGGTTGGCTTGGGTATCCTTCGGAAAACTTTCCTATACACTAAAAAATAGAAAATACCCCCAATATTTAAAAACAAGGAAAAAAAATGGAAAAATGGCAAAGACCCATGGAAAGCCAAATGCTGATGCAAAGACCGATGTATCAACGCGGATAGCAAAACTTAAGTGGAAGTTCGCAATTGGACAGCAAGGTCTGTATAGATAGCTAGAATAAACTCTCCACATTAAAATGAATGTCGTTCCACAGATTCTTTTATTTTATTTGCCTTCATTTCGCATTTGTAAATTATAATCTGGCTCACTATCGCTGACCTCTTCTTCGCCGGCCTCGTCTTCAAGTTTTATATCATCTATTTCACTTTTAGGAGAAAGTTCGCTATTACAGTTTTAGGAGAAAGTTTGAATTTATTAGACTCGTGACTTTGATTTTTTGTTAACGCTTCTCTTCTGATTAGATAGTTGTACTGTTACCATTGTCTCGTCTGGTTTTTCTGCTTCTAAATCTTTTACACTGATCTTCTCCCCTGCAAAAACATTTAGTTTCTTCCGTCTGCTGGACATAGTTGCATTTAGATTGAGATTAGATTAGATTTACGCAGTCTTTTATATACTTTTTTATAAAATTGAGACCCCTGATTTAGTGTGTATATGTTTCTCTTCTCCTGAAATATGTAGAAGTGAATATACAGAGACACTATATGTGAAATCAATTCTAAACTGTCTTTTCTTTTATCAAAAGCAAATGTTATATATCTGTATCAACAATTGACATTGGAGAATCATTAGTTCTGTGGTCTATTAACAGTGTGATGGAAACTATATAATATTTCTCCTTTGTGATATTATTACACATTATTCATGTCTAGTTTTATTATTTATAGACATACATAATTCTTGAGAATCTGCAATTATACTTACAGTTTTTCTTCTCAGTTAAAGACTTCTTTTTTTAGATAATCAAGTTTTATATTTTTTGTTCTAATTTTTTATAAAGAAAACAAGTATCTACAAATAAAGTATATTTTCTTAAGATCTAGTTACAAAAGAATATTAAAAGAATAAAAGTGTTCTGTAAATTGTTCATTCTGTCCATCTGTGAGCACAGTGTGGATTGGTACAGACATAATACAGTCTCATTTCTTCTTCAGCTCTTCTTGTTTGTGCTTGGAAAAATACAGCTTCCCTAAAAATAAACATAATAAGTAATTTTGCTTTGATCAACAAGCTTCTTTAATTATTTTTGAAAAGTAATAACATCGAGGGAGACAATGATGCTTTCTATTCTTTGTTTCAAGTTAAGAAAATAACATTACGCTTATGGAGATCAGTGTTGCCAAAACTCTCAGACACTCTCTTTTGCACGGATGTCCAAGATATTCCCTTTGCATAATTTTTGAATTTTCATTTTCAATTAACATTTAACTGTAAAGTCAGAATAACTACTAAATAAAAGCCTTATCATTATGTAGTCAGAGAATGACATAAAATCGCTGACATACGCAAATCGTATTATTTTAAGTTGCAATTAGTAATTAGATATATGCATTCCAAGTCCGTTTATTTGCTTTTAAAACTTTAATATATGGCAAAATGCATGATTTAACTAAGCAACATTTTCTACTGATTTCTATGATTCATGTCTCACTGAAAAACAAATAAACTATTGTTACTATAATTAAAATAAGATAAAATAAAATTATCTTTTGTAAATACTATTTATCTAATTAAAATCATTTTCCCTACTTTTCATCTCTTGTTTCGAATGGGCACTTTTGGTCAATTACGTTAAAAAACATTACTTTAATTCATGTCTGTGGAAACGAAAATACAAATTATACAACCTTAAATTGTGCTTGTGTGTGTCGTGGCAACGCCGCGTTTCTATCGTCCATAAGAAATACATGGCCTTATCTCCACAATGTTATTTTCTTAATGTGGAACGTAGTATAGTCCTAGTTTAAGTTTAGTTTTAATTCTAGCAGTTCTAGTTTATCCACAATCTTAACAAACAAACATTTTATCAACGTTTATTGTTGGTTTCTCATAAATCACACATTAATAAAGTAGTAATATTGTGTAATACACAATAGCATTACAATCTTAAAGGAATACATACCTATGATTACATTCTGGACACTGATGATCTTCTGTTCTTGGTAATGTGGGATCAGATATTACATCTGCCACTATATGGGTAAGTTCACTAAAACAAAAAGCGTTAATATGCCTCTAATATCTCTTAAAATAAACCTTACTCGATTTCGTGCATAATTTTGTTGACATAAATACATTTTGAATCTGCATGTTGCTTATAGTCACAGTTTCGGCAGGCGTATAAAAGTATTTTATTTTCTTTGTCCTCCTTCGGATATAACATGTTATTACTGAAACAAAATATATTTGTTGAGGAAATTTTAAAGGTTATAATTTCACAAAGTATAATTTTAAAATTATTTGGCGTTCTTACCATTCTTGACAAAATCTTATGCCTACAAAACCTGGTCCTTCACTGTGAGAATCGTATCCTGAAGGTTTTGCCATATTTAACACAGAAACAACTAAATTTTTCAAGAAAAATAAAATCGAGAATATTCCTCTTCCAATTAACTTTTAAGACGTTAATGATGTCAAAATTGTCAAATGTCTTTTATTTCAAAAGCTTACTCAGTGACATCTATTATGATTAGTCAAAACTAAAGCAATGTATGTTGCATATATTGCAGAGCACACATTAAAAAGAATAGTTCAAAAAGTCAGTAAATTACGTCTTGAAACGTATGCTCAGTCCATCGTATATGGCTTTTCAAAACGTAGCAAGATCACACCATAACAAGTAGTATTGTAAATAAAGTATTTAAAACTCATATAGGTAGGGTCAAGTGGTGCAAAAACGAGACGATTTTTAAATCTTTTAATTTTCTATAACCAAGGCTTTGTCATATTGCCCTTTATAGAGAAAACCATGTAGTATACCTTACGGAAAAAAAATTATAATGTTTATAATAAAGAGTGTAATTTTTTAAAAACGCTGTCTCGTTTTTAACCACTATTTAGGCTAAATATGAGACAGTAAGAGATAAGACACTGTATTTTTGTGCTTTTAGTTATTTTATATGAGTGTGCAAATGTGCAAATATTGAACTGAGGAATAAAAACTATATGCAAAGGTTTTAAGCGTTTACTAAATCAAATAACATAGTTAGGTTTTAAATTGTAAGAACATTCTTAGAAAAAAACTCACCTACCTAAATACAAAAATATTGCTATTAAACTAAAAAGAAAAAAATTTAAAAAACAAGTTAAATAAACCATACCCGATTCAAAAATGAGGTAAAAAAGATTATTATTAGGATTTAAAGAACTAAAGTAAAAAACATTATTATTCTAGGTACTTTGTACTACATATTATTGAACGACGTACTTTTCAAAGTCGATAGGAAATAAATATTGCTGAGAAATACGACAGGCCGTACTTTCTATTTCTGGCAGGGCAGTTCCTCAATGGCTGAAAAAATAAATTTAAATCCTTTGCTCCTCAGATATTTTACTTCTACATCTCTCTTAAAAATTTTAAGAATTTGTGCCGGTAGTAAACTTGCGTCTTCTTAGTATTAAATTTAGGTAGGATAAAATCATTTTCCTTAAGTTCATATGCTTCCGTAATTTCAAGGTTTGTTTCTCCATTTTCTGAAGGCTCATCATCACATTCATCTTCAATAATATCTTCTAGAGTCAAATCCTCTACATCGCTTTCATCTTGATAAAATTTCTGTTCGTCAATGCTGCTTTCACTGTCACTTTCAACTAGAAACTGTTTTATTCACCTTTTGTTTCTTTCGTGATTTTGTAGATTTCTCACCTTTACTTTTCTAATTTTCTTCTTTCTCCTGTAGTTCATTTAAGTACTTTTGCCATAGAGTCTATCTTTCTTCTTCTTGCTGTTATGTTTGGGGTTCTTCGAATTTTCTCCAGTAGTAATAATTTAAAAGAGCAAGATGGTTTGGGAGAAGCACTGTTAGATTGATCTGAAACAGACTCAATAACCTGTTCGGTCTGCGACAATCTTCGAAAATATCAAGTGGATTATATCCAAGTAGCTTTGCAGGATATAAGCGTTCTGCTGGATATCTGTTCTTATCGCATGGATATATCCCAACCTTTTCAAAAGAAGATTTAATAATTTCTGCAGATAAACCTTCATTCCAAATGCTACAAATCAAATCACTAAATTCGCTACTAGATGGTTTTCTCTAAGTCTTTGCCAGTTAATCAAAGCTTCATTCCATTTCAATTTCAATGGACTAAAGCAACATCTGTCAAGTCAGTTGTATGAGCAGGGATTTCAATAAAGTTATATTTTCTAGCACAGCCAATTCTATCGTCGATTTATCCAAATGGGTAACATGTCCATCCAGTATGATAAGAAGTGGGCGTTCATGAACCAGTGCACAAAAATTTTGGAACCACTTTTGAAAATCTGATAAGTCATCCATCCCTTTTCAAAGGCTGCGTAGCATGTATTCAGTAAATCGGCCTTACCTAAAAAACATATTTTTATTACTACCTATATTTTAACAAAAGTTTGTCATCTTACCTTTCCAACTGTTTCATAAACGCCCTTGGAAAATTATTAGAGGAGGCAACAAAGTATCATTTCCTGAAATGCAGGCCATTACGGTGGTATTTTCCTTTCCTGACCGCTCTATATTCCGGTGAACTTTCGGACCAATACCAGCAACGCCTTTTATTCTGGTTGGATCGGAAGAAAAACTGGTCTCGTCTAAATTCCAGATATGACCGGGTTTGTCTTGCAATTTCAAATCAGATATGCAAGTATTCAGGCGATCGTAAAAGCCAAAGATGATGAATGGATCACTTGTAGCTGACCTTCTACATCTTTCCAGTTGCTCAAGCTTTTTTTGATTTAGTCTATTACGCTTTATGAGAGAAGAGGCCCAAACCTTACTGTGGCTGAGAAAAGACAGGTAAGGGAAAGGTCAGTTGAAAGATGGCAAGAAGAATGGAACAATACGGAGGATGTGGCACAGTGGACGAAAATTCTGATCCCTAACATAAGAGTTTGGGTGGACTGTGACCACAGGCGATTGGATTATTTCCTGACGCAGGTGCTCACAGGACACGGGTGTTTTAGGGCCTACCTTTATAGGATCGGTAAGGCTGATACAGATGAATGCCTGTATTGTGGATATTCGGACACTGTGACACATACGATGTTAGATTGCAGCAGATGGATAGTGGAAAGGAACAGAATGGAGAGAGAGACAGGTGTGAATTTTGTTACAGTGAGAGAAATGATTGAGAGAATGATTGAAAATAAATTAGGTTGGATTAACATACACAGTTATATCCATGCAGTGGTCAAAAAAAAGGAAGAGGAAGAAAGACAGCTGAACCAACGGCAAAGGTAGAGTGAATGATGCTGAAAGGTGAAGTGGGTCACACTTTTTGAGTTAGAATGCGTGAGTATGACTGTGGGGAAAGAGGAAATATCCTTCTGAGAATGATGCCGAACTAGGAGTGTGAATGTGTATGAATGGAGAATGAATGAATAAAGATAGTGCTTCGGAAGTGATGCCGGCCTTACAGCGGCCCTTCCGCTTCCGGATCGCTGGATGACAGAGGAGGGTCTGGTTTAGCAGGTAGGCGTTCGGCGTAGACTCGGCGACGAGAGGGCATTTTAAAGTACCTCGGGAACTATCGCCGGGAGTACGAAGAACGAATCCTGCACTAAGGTCAGTCAGGCGGCGTCCTGGACTGAGATGTCTTTTGAAGATTCCAGACCCCCCCTCTATAAAGACGAAAAAAAAAAAAAAAAAAAAAAAAAAAGTCTATTACGCTTACAAAAATTTTTTAAACCACTCTTTGCCAGGCTTTCCTTCCTTAAACTGGGTAGTAAGGTGGTTTTCTTGTACATAGGTTTGAACTATTACTTGTATCTCCGGTTTAGTGAGAGACAACCCTCATTTTGCCATAATTTTTATCTCATCAATAAAGTCTTTTTCAATTTCTTTGGTTAGAGAAGTTTTTCTTCCCTGTTTACCAATTACACGAGTACATCCTTCTCGAAAGAGCAGATTTGTCAATTTTAAACTGTGTAGCTGCACTTCTAAGAGATAAAATGCCATCCTCTATTAGATTTAGGGCTGTTTCCATGTCCTTTTTGTCGTAGGGGCGCTTTTTGGGAACGTAAACCTTCAGCATTATTCTTAAAGGTATAAAAACTCCGTCTTGTTTTTTAACTGACACGTGTCTCGTTTTTAAACTTGGTGGTGTCTCGTTTTTGCACGTGTTATTTACGACGTGGTAGCTTGCCAACGAGTAAAGACAGACTAAACTCGTTACGGAATATCATAGCCCCATGTACTATTTTAAAAATCCGATACATGCCGAGTGTTTAGAATCTCGTACAGCAGCGCAACAGGAAAAGTTCGTATATACAATTTAAAAGTTTTTTTTTTAAGCAAAATGCATAGTCAGATGCGATAGTTTTTTCCCATGTTTGCGTTTACGTTTATTTATTATTCATTACATATTTCAATTGTATATATGTGGAAGTAATTTGTAACGTATATGTTATAAGGTTATTGTTTTTTGCATTAGGAAAAATTGAATGTCTTGTTTTTGACCGAAATTTCGGCTGTCTCATTTTTGCACCACTTGACCCTATTCAACCTGCTTAAACTATATTTCGTATAAACAGGACAAAATAAAAACACATATAAAATAAATAAAACGATATTTTTATTAAAAAATATAATTTATACTTAGAGTACGTTAAAATTATTCCGCAACCAATATCTTAGCGTAACAAATAAAAATAATATATGTACATATTTATCAGAGGCAGCCAAATTCCAGTTTGATTTTCGACGTTTTTCGGGGTTGGTAGTTTACTTCATGTCATCACTTGGTATATTATGCAACACCTTCAAGTGTTGTTTTACGTAACTCTTGTCAGTAAATCCCTTGTGGCATTCAGGGCATTTAAAAGGCTTTTCCCCTACATGAGCCCTGAGATGCTTCTGCAGTTTATTATTTGCTGTGTATGCCTTGCTACACAAAGGACAAATAAATTTTTTAATAGAAGGTTTAACCTTAATATTACCTATTCCATGTGCTTTCGATTTATGTATATCCAAAGACTTTTGGAACTTATAGCCTTGATCACAAATCTCACACCTAAACGGATAAAAGTGAGAGTGAGTTATGATATGACGTTTTAATACTGACATATTTATACACTTCCTGTCACAGAGATGACAAGGAAAATTCCTTTCCCCCGTGTGCGTCTTTTTGTGACTATCTAAGTTTATTTTCAAAGGAAACTTTTTATCACAAACATCGCAAGTGTATTTCCACTGAGATCTATCCATATGAACACACATTTTGTGTTTGTATAAGTCAGAAGATGTGTTAAAAGCTTTCGGACAAATTTCGCACCTGTAGTTTCTTTTATTTGCGTGAATTTTTTCGTGGTGATACAAGTCACTGGCAGTTATGTAGCCTTTACCACAAAAGGAACAAACGTGTGGTCTGTCACCAGAATGGTATCTGAAAAATAAACAATTGTTAAGTATTTGAATACCTATGAGAAGGAATGTTAAATGTAGTGAAAAATCGTCAGTTTTGCAGGGCTTTTGAGTTAGCAGAGGTTATAACGGGATTAAAGGGGATTTAAATCTAGTAATATTAGGGAGTTACTTGAATTTACCCCTCAAGTATAATAAGATCATTACAAAATAATTTACAAAATGCTACAGTACAATATAAGTACATTACAAAAAGAATGAGAGTTATGAGATCAACAATTCTTGTTTTGGCTAAAAGTATTCCATGAAATATTATCCAACATTGATACTGATACTAAGTAATAAGGACAGATTTAAAGCAAATTAAAGATGGTATGCATTGGTCAAAAATACCTCATCCTCAGACACGAAGAATTGTAAAAAATATTTTGAAGAAACAAGCAAGTCAAATAATAAAGCCGAACAGGTAAATATCTTTATTTGATAATAACTATTTATCAGCTTGCATCTTACAAATCATCAGATTCGAATTTTTTGTAATATGTTTCAGTTATTTTATTCTTATTGTTGATAGGTAATAGGACATAAACGGATTGTAATGTTATGGGTAATTTTTTTTAGATAATAAACAAATGGAACGAAACAAATCCAAATAAACCAGCACATACTTGGCAGCTAACTGATCATATAGAGATTCGCGCTTATTTAGGACTTCTGCTTATTCAATGAGCACTTCAAGCTACAAAAGAGCCCAAAAAATGTTATGGTGTACCGATAAAAATACGCTAGGCCTATTATTCTGGCAAGTATGTCACGTAATAGATTTCAGTTGCTTATAGCATTTATTCGTTTTGATGATTATTCTACCAGAGCTGAGCGTAAAGCGCATGATAAACTTGCACCTATTAGAGAGGTGTTCGATACTTTTGTGAAGAATTGTACTATAGCATATTCACCTGGACCGCATCTTACCATAGATGAACAACTAGTTTCATTCCGAGGGCGATGCCCTTTTTGTGTGTATATGAAAAGCAAGCCTGATAAATATGGCTTAAAGATTTGGGCAATGACAGACAGTGAAAATGCTTATAGTATGAATTTACAAGTTTATCTTGGAAAAAAGATTAAGACACACGAAAAAAATCAAGGTGAAAGAGTTGTCCTTGACCTTAGTGAGCCACTTGGCTTTGGGTATGGCACAGCTACAGATAATTTTTTTACAAGCTTACCACTGGCTGAAAAACTATCAAAAAAAGGACTAAGCCTATGTGGTACTCTGTGTAAAAATAAAGCATGTATTCCCAACGAGTTGCTACCCAAATCGTTCAAGCCTGTTTATTCTAGTATGTTTGCTTTTTCGAAAGACCATACTATGGTTTCTTATGTTACCAGCAAAGGCAAATCGGTTATTTTATTATCCACTGTCCATCATGATGATGCTGTTGCCGATGAAACATTAAATAACAAGCCAGATATTATACTGCACTATAATCATACAAAAGGTGCAGTAGATACCACAGATAAGATGGTAAAGCAATACTCTGCTCGTAGGATATGCAACTGATGGAAATGGCAGTGTTTGGCCAAATATTGGATCTTTCTGGCCTGAACGCTTACATCTTATGGTGTATCAAGTACCGGGATTCATCTAGAGAAAAAGATGATAGACATAATTTTTTACTAAATCTAGGAGAAGCTTTAGTAAAAGAAACTATTACCAGGAGATATAATGAGGAAGTAAAATTGAATAAGATTTTGAAGCAGCACATGCAAAGTGTCGTTCCAGAGTTGGTGCTGGTGAAGATGCAAATGGAAGCAACCTATGAACGATCTTCAAGTGGATGTTGATACTTATGTAGTCGAAATAAAGATCGTAAATCAAGGCAATTTTGTAAGCAGTGCAAAAATTTTGTATGTGCAGAACACCATACCAAGGAAGTAATTTGCACCTGATGCCAAGAAACTTAGGACTAGTTTTCGGTCCTAAGATTTATTTTTTATTCCTACAGTTAATTTAATTAAATGATGAAATTATTTTTTTGTTCGATATACCCTTTGATGTAATAAAAATGTGTTAATTTAAGATTTTATTTCATTTTCTTATAATAAAAATTAAATATACACATTTTTTTCTCTGGGATACAAATGGAACCCAGATGGGACTCCACGTAATTTTACTGATGTGGGAAGACAAAGGTTAATAAAGAAAATGACGATGGCATGAGTTCTTACCTACCTTTTATGGGCATTGAGATAAACCATTGATGCAAAACTTCGATTACATATATCACAAGTAAATTTCTTATCTTTGTTGCTATGAACATTGTCAAAATGTCTTTTTTGCATATATTTATTTGTAAAAGTCAGTCCACATTCAGCACAGCTTGGAACTTTTGGCTGACCATTGTCATCCCCTCCAATGCTACCACCTGAAATGTAAAAAATATTCAGTCCAATATAAAACAAAAAAAATCAAAAACTTACTGTCATGTTTAAGTTCGCAAATTTTTGTGTGTTTCTTTAACACATATTTTGATGCATATTGTTTTCCACAAATTTTACATAAAACCTTTTTATCTTCCAATGTTTTTTCTTTTCGTCTTTTCTTTGGTTTCTGTACGACTGGTTCAGCTTTAAAATCAGAATCAGAATCATCATCATCATCTGATGGTAAATTATTTTCCAATGAAGAATCCTCATCTTCTTCATTATTTTCATCTTTTACAGGTTCAAGAAGATCTTCTTTAATAGTTAAATCTTCATCTTTAACCACTTGATCCTTTAGTGACCAATACCAATTATAGGAGTTAATACATAATATTTTAAAAGAATGTACATCATACAGCCTCTGCCTGCAGATAACACATACAAAAAAAGAGCGCTCCCAGTTCTAAAAAAGACACTGATATTAAAACAGGTTCTTACATTTATAAAGGAAAAGATCATTTCATAACAGCCTTGTGTTCAGGATAATAAACTATAATAAGTACCCGTTTAGACACAAAAAAAACCCAAAATAATGTCAAATATTTGTCATAATTCTAAAAAACTTAGATACGGGGCTGTTATAAACATAAAATTAATAAGGATAAACATAATGAATTCTCTTGTTGCTTAGAATTGACCCCATAAACTGTAATAGACGCTATTTACCAATTCTGGCACACATTCTGCTAGCTGTTGTACGATATCCGTGTTTTGAGATTCGTCTTTTGAAACTTTTATTAATTCCGAAGGAGTTTTCAAACATATTAAACAAATTTCTGACATATTTTCCAACCAGTTTGTTGATGTTTGATAAGGGCTAGCCCGAGCCACGATATTTTTGTATACTAAACACACGGGTGGGCGACTCTTATGAGAGTGACATTTCTTTGCTTTTTACTACGACCCAGGATACGAGGTGGCGCACGCAGACAAGTGTTGTTTATTTAGACAACTTATGATACACAATATTAATAAGTTGGTTGCCAATCAAGAAATATACAAATCCAAATACACGCAACCCAAACAACACGCCTGACACGGGACACCCGACACCCATTTTATTAGGTTATTTATGTGGTATACATGTGGTATATTAATTATGTTATGATTGAGATCGCTAGTAGTTTATGCCCCGTATTTATAGTCGGTACTCAAGATCGTGCTCGAGAACGTGCTTGGCCAAGTCGAACTTACGTCAAAGTCATGCTCAAGTATTTGTTGTGTTCTATAAACGATACTTCGGGTATTCTCGTACAAGTTTGATCTCAAGCGAGAAAAAATTAGTACGGTAAAAGTAAATTACGAATAAACATCGAAAAAAAGAAGATTCTGTCAATTTTCTCATAATTGTGACTAAACTTTTAGCGCCAAATTTAGTTTATGCTACTTACTGAAATTTTGTGTTTGATATTAATATTTTGTGTTTGAAATTAATACTGGATATTAACTATTTTAAGGTACGTAATATGTTATAAAAAATATTTATTCTACAGAATTAATTTCTATTTTGTTACTGTGTCTGAGGCATAATTTTTGATGTTCAAAATATATGCTTATGTATATTTGTTTTTGGATATATTTATATGTATGTAATGCGTTACAATCATTATAATTATATTGCATGTGTAAGCCGTACGCTAAATAAATTGGTTATGTAAATTTTAGATGAGTGGAAATAGCAGTAAATATGCACCTTACTCAACAAAGGAAAAAGTTCTCCTAATTCAGCTGGTAACAGAAAACGCTGTGGTAGAGAACAAAAGGACAAACTGTTTTTCACTTCAGCAATGGAGAAAAATATGGCTTGGGAGTTCATAGCAACAAATTATAACTGCCAACCTGAGGTCAACATCTTGCTGCCTGATTATACCATCAGGCAGCAAGACGAGATTCATAGGATGAAAATGAAGATTTTAGAAGAAGATATGCTGAAAGCAAAAGCCTTAAGAGAAGCAGCTGAGAAGGAGAGGCAGAGAGCTATTGATGAAGCTGAATTAGCTTCATTGAAGTTAATAGACTATAAAAAGGGTAATTATAGATTTTATCATGTTTGACTTGTCACTGGAATTTGTCTATAATTAATTGTTTATTTTCAGGCGCTAGAAGATCTTTTTCCTTTGTTGGATACTCTGCAGTTTCAGGGAAAATGTAGAAATAAGCCATAATATGTTTATTTATTGATATTTTTCAATCTATATGACCAGAGGCTGTTATCATAGATACAAAATTGTGATTTATTTTCTGAAAATAAATCACAATTTTGTATTTTTGGTAACAATATCTGGTCATAGAGATTAAAACATCAGTAACTATAACATACAAAACATTGTGGCTTATTCCCAACTGAAGATAGTGTTTGGGAAGTGTTAACTCGGTCTTTCAGTGGCCTTTTCACTTTAGGAGCACTGAATGTCAGAGTAGGGTCTGTTTTAGCAGGTAGGCATTTGACGTAGAATCAGCGAAGAGAGGATGTTTTAAAGTACCTCGGGAACTATCGCCGGAACTACGAAGAATGAATCCTGCACTAAGGTCAGTCAGGCGGCATCCTGGACTGAGATGTCTTAAGATTTCAGACCCTCCCCCCTCTATAAAGACGAAAAAAATATACTTTGTGTTGTAAAATCATGTTTATTTTTTTTTTTCTATTCTCGTTCCTGTTTATTTTATTTCTAGATAGTATTTAATGTAGATTTAAGATTGTTAATATTTTAATTTCTGCTGCTAACATATGGTTTTACCTTTTTATTTGTTGTATAGTCTTTTGTTTTTTGATTATGTATGTTTCTTTTTCAGTTTTTTTAAGTATTGATTGCAATACATAGTTCATAATATTTTTATGTTGTTTACAGAAAATTATTAAAAATTTTTAATAAATTGCTGCTACTTCAATATATATATTTCATCCTCGAAAGAGCTTAAACTAGCATTCAAATGAAGCCATCGGTTAAAATTAAATGAACAATAGTATTCTTACTGTTTTTCTTGTATTTTTTTGTCTCGTTTCTCTTGTTTAGTTTATAATCTTTAATGTTAAGTTATTATAGAGTTTTTATAACATCCTTTAAAAATCTACAAATTGTTTTTGTAAGTATGAACCCTGGTGGTTGTTTACTTATATGCTAAAATCTTTTTTATTTGTAGTGAACTGATGATGCTTTTAAAAATAAAAGCGAAACGTATTCAAATAAATCAATAAAGTAGTTGACGACTTTTATTTGCCAATTATTGACTGATAAAACCTCTGATATTCAACCATTGAATATATTTTAAATATATATATATATATATATATATATATATATATATATATATATATATATATATACATATATATATATATATTATATATATATATATATATATATATATATACATATATATATATATATATATATATATATATATATATATATATATATATATATTTACTTTATATTTTTGTAATGTTCTAATTGTTGTACAGTTTACTCCTATAAAGCTATAAAATAAAATAATCTATTTTACATTGTATTTAATTATAACTATAATTTTTTAAATAAAGAATATTAATATTCTAAATTTGTATTAATTTTTATTTGGTAAGGAAAGGTTTTATGAAAGGAATAAACACTTAATTAAAATGAGGGAAACTCCTTGTACTCAGAGAAGACATACTTACTTGAGTTGTCTGAGCATAGTGAGGGAAAACCCTCATTTATTTTAAAATTAAAACAAACACATTTTTATAAATAAGACAAAAACATACTATATCTAATATAATATAGGTATTTAATTCTCAAAATAAACAACTTTGAATTAAACAAAGATAAGATATAAAATAAAAAAAAAACAACAAAAAGTGTAATCAAGTAATGATAATCATTCTGACATTTTGAGAAATAAGGTAGAACATACATAATATAAGTATTCAATGTTGTATTTACATTCCCATGCATAACATTGGTGAATAAAATGTCTCCTAAAATTTAAACCTCATTCCACATCAATAAAGTTTCTATTTACTACTTTCTAGAAAATCATCATCACTATCATTATTTTCCTGTAAACATAATATATTGCAAAGTACTGCTGTAGCACTTATTATGCAAGATATGTATTTAATTTGGTTTGTAGGCCTCATTGCAGACAGGGAAACCATATTTTCCAGGTTCCAAATATCCATTTACACATTACATGTGTACTATTATTATATCTATTTTGTTGATCATTGCCTAAAAAGATGTATTTATCAAATAATCTATTTTTTATTTGGCCAATTATCAATAAATACCTGGCTATAATACTGGAGTAAGTAGATTGTGTCTGCACTGCATACATATTCACTATTCATAATAATTCTGGAATTTGCCCTCTTTCCATTCTAACTTTTAATCAACTTTGATCAAATAATAAGCTACCAATACTTTATCCTGGATGTTGAACGACAATATTAATCTCAAAAAGACAAAGAAAATATTGTATTGGAAATATTCATATATATAAACAAACAAGTTAGGTTAGGATCCCGTACTCAAGGCAGGTCGATCGGATGCTTGAGTACGAGCTGTCATTTTTGCATTCTCAAGCTCGACTTCGTGCTTGAGAACGGTTTATAGAACACAAATTTGATTCAAGGTCGATCTCAAGTATCGATCCATACTTGAGCATCGTTTATAAATATGGGCCTATGTGTTACCAGGTGTTACTACTCATTTTACAAGTTGGTGATATATAATAAAGTGAATATAAACAATAAAACTAGAAATAATGGTTTCAAAGTGCTGCGTTTTAGGTTGTAGAAACACTAGCCAAAAGGCCCAGCTGCATACGTTTCCAAAAGACGAGAAGGTAAGTTAAATTTTTATTATTTATTATTTTTCTACCAATAAAGACCAATATATAGTTTTAGTTCTCAGAGTGTAGGACTTCTAAAAATATATCTTATTCAAGGGGTATTATTGTAAAGTGAATGGTACCTTTTTATGACTTTACTGTATGCATGTATATGCACTGTCTATATTTTTGTTCTTTTTTTTCTAGATTTGGTCAATGTGGATAAAGAATATTGGTCGAGAAGATTTGAAAAACAAAACCATAGATCATTTAAGAAGATCTTATCGCATATGTAACATACATTTTGATGATAATCAAAAATATATTGGAAGTCGATACAAATCTACCATTAAGCAAGATGCAGTGCCTACTTTGTTTCTTCCAATTATTAAAAATGGTAAGTACTAAGAAAATTTAATTAATTAGTCAGTATAAATTATTTTTTGTTTAGTTAAAGAATCTGAAGTTATGCCAGCTGTAGAATCTGAAGTTATGCCAGCTGTAGAAGTACCCAGTACATCAAAATTTAATGAAAGTGGAATTCCCCAATCTCCTGTTCGTGATGTTACTGCACCTAAAACATTTTCAACTCCAGCTAAGCAAAAAGGTAATTTTTATAAAAGAATCTTATGTACTACTGTTATTTTATTCCTTTCTTTTCCTTACAGTGGGATTATTGATGTTCTCTTCCCATTAATAACTAAAATTCAGGGTTTTCTTTAAGCTTGTTTTGTCCCTGATATGTTGAAAGAATGTATATAATAATCAATTTTCTTTTTTTATAGGTTTAAGAAGTAAATTAAGACTTTTGGCCTACAGTGGAACAGAATCAGTTGCTAAACTAACACCTAAGGCGAAAAAATTTTACAGAATTGCAAAAGATCTTCGTAAAACTGCTAAACGACTGGATTTTAAATGTTTGAATTTGAAAAAGGAATTAAGAAGAGTTGAAAAAGTTATGGAATCAGGTGATTTTTTGGCCCAAAGCATCAATAAAGCTACTTATGATTTTATAAAATGCCAATTAAGGTGCCAAAAATTTCAACCGAAGGGTAGGCGTTATAGCCTTGATGAAAAAATTTTATTTTTGTCATTTTTAAAACAGAGTCCTAAAGGATACAAACTATTTCGTAAAATATTTGCTGCTCCTTCAAGGAAAACTTTGACTAACCTTTTACAAAATATTCCCTTTGCAA